CCCGCTTTACTCAATAATTACTCCTTTATTATAAATAATAGAAAAAAATGGTTCAGGACTTTTCGACTCAGTTTTATTCCTTCTATCTGCCTACGAGAGATTGTACGGCTATTCTGGGACACCCTGTATATATTACTGTGAGTTATTAAGGAAAAAAAAAGATCGTGAGATGGTGGATTGTCTAAAGCCCGCTATAGACAACGAGCGATGATGTAATGTATAAAAAAACATTGGCACTTTAAAGATCCGTCAAATTTCTTTTAAGAGTGCCAACTAAAGGACTCTAAAATAATGTTGCCATTAAAATCCACACAAAAATTAACTTACTATTAACTTACTATTAATGTCACGTAAAAAGTAATTATAGTCAAAAATATGTTGACAATTAGAAAACAATCAACAAGTGTTGATCAGTGGAGAGATGCTAACTATAGGTTTAATTACCCTATTATGTTTTGCAAAAAATCATTTATAACTATAATGCAATACTTTAGATATATCTTTGTCTCATTTTTTTTTTTTTTTTCTTAACTAAAGCGTGTAATTCAAAGAATATTTATTCCTACTCGTTCGAAAATAATTTAAGAAATTTCTTTCTCATTTAATTTATTAAGTAATTTAAATTCACTCCGTTCTTATTTGAATTTTATGCAATTTGAAATTCAGATTTGGAGATTTTACTTCAGAATTGAGAGCTGGAATTGTTATTGATTAAATACCGCATTATATCTTCTGAAAAACACTGTCAATGTAATATGTTCAACACTGTAATATGTTCAAACGTTAGAAAAGACAACCATTGTGTTACGACAATTCTCTTCGTCTGTGATATATGATCGTCGCTCATCTGTAATATAATATAATATTCATATCTCATCTGTAAGGTAATGTGATATTACATTACATTTCTCATTTCCAAGCTATAATACATATATATATATTATATTATCGCTCGCGTGTTATCTGTAGCGAACTTAAATGTGCAGTAAAGCACTACAAAATAATTACGTCCATTTTTCAGTTACATGTTCTTTCTTCTATATAAACTTTTATTGCAAAACAAAAAAAATTTGTATCCAAATACTTTCGTTTTGTTTTCGCCAAGGTAAGAATAATAAACTTACGGAAATACAGATGTTATAACGCCTAAGTATTTTTAAACATCATTATTCGCGATTTTATATGTTTTTCTTTTGAATAAGTTGTTGACTAATATACACATTGCTTTTGTTAGCATAATAGCAAAAAGATATGAAAAACGTATAAAAATTTTATAAGCTGCGCGTTCACTCTTGTATCTCAGTGCAATTTGACAAATTTGTAAATATCTATACATGTATGTACGCGCGCGTGTGTGTATGTGTATGTGTGTGTGTGTGTGTACTCACCACATATTTTACAAAATTATAAAAAGGATTTCGAAGTTACATACATATGTATACATAGACTATATATATATATATTTTTTTACAGAACATTCATCCTGAATTTTGAATATCGTATATATTTATTTATTTTTCTCTCTCTCTCTCTCTCTCACATTATATACATCTTCATTAAATCTAACATTTTATATAATTATACATTGTATATTTCCATACTAATATAATTTATCATACGTAGGAATTAGCAAAGCACACGTGATAGAAAGTTTTCCGCAACAAAATTACACATTATTTGATACACGCGAAAAAGAAGTTCAGAGACTTGCGACAAAGAATATATTTCAAACGTGTTCATTAAATTAAACAAATCTAATGTTCGATTTAAATAATATATGTGTGTCCGAGAATGCAGTTCTTTTATTAAGATAAAAACATTAATTCAGGAATGAAGATAATTAACGTTTCATTTTCACGATATACGTGCGCTCGTTCTTATTGCTCGTAGAAATATAGCGTTTTTGACTGTAAGCCAATATATATGTATACATATATAACGACTCTACCTTTGAAATTTATATCGTTCGATCTAATGAAATATTTGCAAACGCGGCGTTCTATAGATAATTTTTTAATACAGATCAAACGCACTTGCTCCATTTGATCCATTGTCTTGTTATGGTAAAAAAAAAAATCGATGCTCTTCCACATGAGCATGATATATTGTGAAAATTTAATAATATTTTCGTCCTTGTGAGGATTCTAAGAAATTTTTATGCAAAACTTGACTTTTGGCAAGTTTGCGCGAGCGAAACAAAATTGTTCAAACAGCGCAACGTAAAAACGTGTTTCAGGTGTATTACTAAATTTGTCTCGCGTATGTTATTAATAATAAAAATCACAGATAATATGTAAAACAAACGAACAATTTCCTATTGTATGTATTCTTCCTGAATAAAATGTTGGATTCGCAATGAGGCGCTCTCCCTTAACGTTTGCTCTTTGTCAAAAAAACACACACACACACACACGCGTGTACATAAAAATACTGAAATAACTTATGTTAATATTTATGTGTTTAACACACTTTAATTTTCCAGTATTTTTATTTGTCTACACGCGCAATCTCAACAAAAAGAAATGAAATTTCAAATTCCCCAAATAGAACCGTGTTGAAGCGCAATTTCGAACAATACAATGTACAGAAAACTTCGTGGAAACGGGCATTTAAATTCAAGTGATGCCAACTCAATCTCTTCGCTGACTCTTTTCTTGTCTCATATCTCAACATTTTAATCTTCTCTCCACAAGAAATTCGATCCAAATCAACGTCTCGTATTTATTACATCGATGTAAAAAATCGTTTTGACGCCGTTTCGGACGCGATAGAATCGCGCGGAGATTGCGTCTCGTTTCGGCGCGGGTCTTCGTATTCGCGCGGCATCGCGCGCGCGCCGCCGCCGCTCATTCAGTGTGTTTCCGTCCGTCGCGCGGTGCAGATCGTGTTCACCGTTCGCCGTCGTGTCGCGCTCCGAGCGTGCAACGAGTGCGTGGCACCCCGCGGTCATCCATCCACCCATCCGTCGTGGTTCGTGTCGTCCCGACAATCCGGTTTCGACCGTTTTGTACGCGGTGCAAGCGCGACTGCGGCCTCGCCCGTTGCCGCTCGTGTGTTATTTACCATCTTTATCGACGCGATTCGCGTGTGTTTGTCGTGAACGAACTCTTGAAAGATCGCGAAGTAATTTCACGAAATTCCGCGACGGCGAATCGATAACGAGTTTCGGCGAAACTCCGAAAATCCGGTGATAGACACGGTCGCGGTTGGATCTCTTTCGGGAGAGAAGAAACAAGAACACACGTGTGGAACATTCGAGACGCCACAGCCTGACGTGTTAACGAGGTACGTACGTAACCCATTTGTCAAACACGTAAGCAGCGACTTGCGTTTTTTTTGCGTTTATAAAACGGAGCGGAAGAGAACAAAGAGTTGAAGCGAACGGACGTCGATCGTCCGGTCGATCGAAATCGACCGCGCGCGCGCGAGCACGCGTTCGAGAGTTTGAATTCATCTGTTTTCGGGTCGTGTGTACTGTTGTTGCAATTATCGATCTGAAGTCGGCAAGCGAGTCGGGAGCGAATTGCTCGTCGGAGAACGAGTTGTTCGCGGACAATTTTTGTGCCAAACAAAAGAAAACCAAGGTGCAGAAAGTGTAACTCAACGTATTATAGTCGCATATTAAATCAGATGAATGTAGATTGTCAAGACGGTCTCGATTTTTCAAAATGGCAAAGAGGTGACGCGCTCTACGCAAATTTGTTGGATTCGCGCACGTCGTTAGGTTTCGTCACGCGGTCATGAAATCGACACACGTACGATTTTCGAGGAAAAATCTTCGAGAAAATAAGAACCGAATGGCGTTCCCCGCGTAGAGATATTGGACTCTGCCTTCGCTGCGTGTAACCGCACTTTCTCGCGTTTAAAATTAAAACAGATTACACGTCGAACGCGTCTCGTAAAGGTCTCGGAGAGGAAGAGAGGAAAGAAGGAAAGTGCGGGATCTTTTCTCGTATTTCCGCACACAAACCGGTGGGAATGCGAAATGTGAAACGTCGCTAATATCCAGCTCATGCCGACCAATCTCCGACGCCCGGCAATCGATAGAGCGCCGAGGCGGTATTTTCTGCTGCATTATACGATATATATTTTCGCGTGTCTGCTGCAATGTCACGTTGTCGCAAGGTGAATCCCTCGGTGCTCGCGCGAGCGTGTTCCCGAATCTTCGCGCGGCACGATTCGCGTTAAAGCGTGTATACACATATATATATATACACGCTTTAACAAAGATAACAACGTCGCGTTCAATCGAATGCCGAGGAGATGAAACTGTTCTACTCCGGTTGGTTTAAATCTCGGGATTACACTCGCCTCTTGTTGCGCAATAATTGAAAACAAATACGACTGATTACGTCTACTATCAGTTGACAATTAAAATGCAACGACATCGTTTTAATTTTAAAGCAATCGCAATCGATCGGTCTTTTACGACTTTCGATACACGTGTCTTTCGTTTTAAAAATTCGAAAAATATCGAGAGATATAATGGAAAGACTCTGATAGAATGTAATTGCAACAAAAATGTTTTCCACTATTAGAAAAATAAACTTTCCTTAGTTAGTAAGGCTTATTTTTCACCCCTACATGTGGTTGTTTTTTTATATATTGTGACAGACCACCTCGTGAAAAGTTGACAGAAACGTTGGTCCAAAGGTCGGTGTGAGATAATTTTCAGACACATTTTATCGAACCAGGAACCGATAAATTCTACAAATTGTGTCAAAGATGCGATAAGTTAAGGTGATCATATTTTTTGTCGTCAATTTTGGGACACTTTTGATGAGTAAAAACAAAAGAGAGAGAGAAGAGGGTGTGAGCATTAGAGGGTGGGAAAGCTGGAGCTATTATTACATTTCTACGTAATTTATTATTGCAAACAATACAAAGAATTTTTATATAAATATTTTTTTACATATTTTGTATTATTATTATATTATTAGCTTTTTCTTTGGTACTTTTCAGAGCTATGAATATTTCTTAACCCTCTATAACGCTGTGTAACTTTGAAGTCATATACTGATATATCGATAAACTTTTAATATCTAATTTCATTTCTAACCACAATGTGGCGTACGCATCTTGTTCTCTTCTTCATAATCATAGAAATTGTTTACCGCGATTGTCAAAGAAATAAAATGTTTGAAAATTGTAAATTCATTGTTACATTTAAACGTGGAAGTTGATATTTTTTTCTGCTGATTTCACGTTACGTTTTCGTGAGTATACATTTTTTATACTCATGAAAAAAATTCGAGTTATAGAGGATTAAAATCTTTATTTGTGTCGATAAGTAATTGTGTCGATTTGAATATCTCAACACAATTTTTGTCATATAGTTTATATCTTTGTTATTAATATTTTTTTCAGAGTTTTTACACTCAACTACATTTTCTCACTTTTATCACTTATCACTCAACTACATTTTCTCACTTTTATCATTTTTCTCACTTATTTCATTTATCATACCATTTATTTGAAAAAAAAAAAAACACTTTCTAAGAAAATTTGAATTTGAAACATATCGGAACAAATCGGAAGGAGAAAAATAATCGGGAGGGTCAAAAAATTAGACTCGAACTAATTTTTAACTATACTCTATAGAACTATAGAATCGAAATTATCTCGGATAAAATCGATACGGAATGGTCATTTTTGATAAGTGCTCTTTTAGACACTTCCATTCTCCAGAATTGCTTGAATTTTTTTCCGTAAAAATTGAAGAAAATAAAATAGCGATATTCATATTTTTTACTCGAACATTCTCTTTTTTTTTTTTGCGTGTGTATATCTTGTAAGTGCGCTCTTGTGTATCTTCAATCGCGTTTATTGAAACGTTTGATAAGGACTCTTGTTTCGAATCTGAGATAAGACGATGTCTCGTGACGAGGCGTTGACTCACACCGCGAATCGCTTCCCCGTCGCGATTTGCAAATCGCGTGCGTGGCGTAAACGCTATAGACCAAAGGTCAAGAGCGCGTACATAATAATTTTCGCACACAACATATTCCGTCGATAATTCCGATTGATCTCAACCGAACACATCAAGTACACACATATGCAGTGCGTTCGATTCTCGTGTCGGAGATACGGGGGGAATAGTCGGCATGAATTTTCCGACATGCTGACGTCAGAAAAACCAACATTGTCTGCGCGATAACGAAAGAAAAAAATAGTGATAATGATGTAACGGAAACATCAGATCTTGCTTTTCTCCTTCTTGTCTTATAGACTCCGATATCCATTTCAAGTAGAAGTGTTTTTCTTATCGACAGATAAAGCGTAACACGCGAACACGTGATCCCGATGCCTTGATTCGCGCGATTAGAAAAAAAAATCGAGATTTTGTTTAAAAAAAAAAAAATCAAGGTAACAGATATTATTTTTTTTTTTCACCTTGTAATTGCAGTGATGCTGGTTGTTTGGCAAGGAGCTCGCCGTTGCCTGAGTTGCAGCGGGCAGCGCACCAATCAGGGCCATCAATTCCACCAAAAGCATCATCGTCGCGAGCTAATCAGCGAGAAGCTCGACCGGTATCATCTCGTTAGATCCAGGTAAGCGTCCGGTTTTTACCGTGCGCTATTACTGCCCTCGTCGTATCATTTTTGTCGACGTAATCAATCACGCTCGTTATAGTTATCGTATCTTTTACGACGAGAAAAAAACTGGCACAAAACTGCGTAATTTATTTAATTATCCAATTAATCTTATTATTACCGTTATATCAATTAATGTATACGTGAAATATATTGTGTGAATCGAAAATTGATACAAAATATTAAATAGGACGATAAAAAAAAAACTATTGTTAGATTGTAGCGTATTATTAGCGCAAAATTAAATTCAAATCTTTTTCCGCGGATGAGGAATTTAGTCGGGAAAAAAATTAAATACAGTCACTCGCGCGCGCGCGCGCGCGTTATCTCTCAACTGTCTGCGATCGAAGCGTGTAATTGATCGTCTCGAGCTAATCAAGTTGGCTCTTATATGTTTGTGTATGTATGCGTATATATGCAAACTCGTGTGTGAGGACCGCTTTGTGTCAACGGACTCGAACAAGAAACGAGTAATTCTCCGTTCTTGTTGACCCGACCGTTTAATCGCGGGATGATTTGCGAGAGGAAAGTTCCCGACGTCGGTTTGGTTTTGGCGACAAAAATGCGATCGCGATATCTCGCACGTGTTTTAAAATGCACGAGGTTCTACGCTATCGGAAAAATTTTTGAGTCATAAAAAAAAATGCATTGAGTAAATTTTACGGAAAAAAGGCACGTAATAAAATATACACGGTAAAAAATGAGTAATGGAAAAAACCGATAAAAAAGCAATTTAATCAATTTATAGGAAAAAAACCGTTGTTTAGAAATATTTATAATTCTTGAGATACAGATTTACTTTTTTTCATAATTATTGTACTTTAAAAAGTTTCAGTTTTAATTTAATCATGTACAACGTAGTTATTTATTTATACACGATTGAGAGCACAAATTATTTTACTCTTTTGCAAATTTTTACCGGAGTATTACAATTGTTCAGAAATAGACGTATCGGCAGTGTTGAATCTCAGCCGTTTCTGTTTGTCAGTAGTCGATATTTTTCTGATAAAACTATATTCTATCTATTATCACACATATACACGCGTATTGCCGATCACTCACGACACGACCACGTGTCGTATAACTGTGCAAGCAGATAGCAAAGATTTCTCGATTGCTTGCCAGTTTTTTTTTAAAGAAATGTGCATGACTCGTGCAATTATCATGTAACTATGTAACATGGTGCAAAATTAACATTTGGATTCGCTTGACCTTGTTTGCTTATCGCGCGTTGAGGAACACGTGTGTACGAATACACAGTTCGCTTTGTGTTGTTATTCAATTATATATTGTTATCTCACGCGAGGAATGCACCCAACTTTTTCTTTCCGTGATTAATCTCTCGAATAAAAAAACCGAGTACTTCGATTCGGAGTTATTTGTGATGTGTGTGTGTGTGTTTTCAAGAATATCTTTCACTTTCTCTCCGCTGCTCTATTATTATCCCGAACGCGCGCATATATGAACGAACCGTATCTCGTGTTAACGTGTCTCGTTTTACTCTTCGACTGACGTTCGGCGTTCTATAGCGACGGATCGATCGTGCGCGAATACGTATGTATATGTATACATATACATATGTATATAACGAAGATCAAAAATTTCCACCGCGTGGACAAATTGGAAACGGTGCGCGCCGCTACGTGGCGTTATCGCGCTTCGTCGAGAAAATATCGAACGCGTTTAATTACCGGCGGGCGCGAAATCGAGAGTCCGGCTGATCAATTTTATTCTTTTCTCTGTCAGACAATTCGTACATGCCGTACGTTTTTTTTTTTTTTTTTGGCAATTGGTTATAGCAATTTTTCTCACGGTCGGAAGATCTACGTCGAAAGATCGACCTCGCGCCGACTTTGTTCGATCGTCTTCTTAACAAAGCGACGAGAAATTATTCGCGATCACGCGGTAATTGCAGCGGTGGTGCGCGGATGAGACGAGCAGCACCGCTGGTGGTGATTGTTATAAAAACGCGATTGACGCTCCGACGTCTTCAGTCAGTGATCGAATGCCGATGTGCGTCGACGTCTTCTCTCTTTAATTGTCGTGTGCGTCGCGCGCAACTCTGCACAAACTTTTTTAAGTCACAAGTCGCGCCGCTGTATTGTGAGTTAAATTTCACACGTTCTCGTGTTTCCTTCGCATTTCTTCGCTGACGTCGCCCGTTGAATCGTACACCGATTCCTGAAATAGCAGTTTTCGATTAACGCACCTGTTCCATTTCGGCGAGATATCATAAGTAAAACAAAATAATTCAATACATATCGTAGGAAGTTTTCTACATCAAATAAAATTAAACAAAAACGAAGCACAAGTGAATATATTTTTCTTCTTGAAGAGAAGAAAACTAAAAAAAAGATTTGTGTTATCTTCGCGAAGGAAGTGCATCCGGAAGGAAGATTTCCGTCTGCTGCGAGCGAAGCTTCGGACAGATGATGCGTTTGATATTTCCGGGAGCTACGGTGTAGTTCGCGTTCCTCAAGCGTGTGATCGATCGCGCGAATTTTATTTTGCGACAATTGAGTAACTCTAATTAACATACTCGAACTCGCGTGCTACGAAATAGGCTCGTTCTTGCCTCGCGTCACAACGAAGTGATTCAGTGGCTGAAGCTGAGGGAAGGAATCGGAGATTATACTCGCACGGTACGTACAAAGCTCTCTTCACAGCGTGATCGACAGATAATCGACCTAACGACGCCGAAAGTGCGATTCGAGCTGCCCTTGATTTTCTTCGCAGAAAAAATAGCTCGAATGTTCTTCTTTTTACGCTGCTCCTCTTCTCATTCGCGTTCCTAATCGTCGTAACAGATGTTTAATGTTATCGCTAATTGATAATTAGCGCGTTTAACGCTCTCGAATTCGGACGATAACGAATCGGACCGGCGCGCGAACATGATCCGTTGTTAGCGAGCGGTATTTTTAACACATTCCCCTCGTAGAAATGTGATTAGAACAGTTTCACGTGGATGGTAAAAAAAACCGCTGAAAAGTCGCGTTTCTTGACCTTCATTTTTTATCGATAGCAATAATAATATATACGTAGTCTTAAATATTTGAACTTACTTTTGCACAAAACAATATACTGGTGTTAGTGAGTGATGCTTTTATGAATGTAAGATATAATAGCACACGTAGAGATATAATAGCAAATGTTGAAAAAACACGCGTCAAGACATGATAGATCTTCTCTTTAAATTATTCGCGAGAATTTGAATAAGTCGGAGGGGAAGAAAAACTTGACAATATTTTTTTTTTTTTTTACATAAAATTTTTAATATTATCATTTTATATGTTGCAGCAATAAATCTTTATATGAAACTCGTCTCGCGGACGAGTCGTAATAACTGCATCAGAAATACTACACTTGCGTCTCGTGTATCTTTGCGGCGAACCGCAAGGACGTCTTTATCTCCGAGCAAATTTAAAACTAGATTATTATATTTATCGTTCGCGCATAGAAAGAAAATCTACTTGTTTGTTGCATAAACTGACAGTGCTGATGAAAAAAACTTCCCCGTTTGTGAAGTTTGAAGTTAAAAGTACGAAAACTATTTCACCCATTTTTATTATATCCGATAAGAGAATGCAGAAGAGATAGTCTATGTATGTGTGTGTGTGCTCGCGCGCGCGCGCGCACAGACAGAATAATGCATTAAGATATGTCGAATCAGACACTAAAATACCTGAAAGCCAAAGTCCTAACCACGTTTATTCTGACGGAAAGTGAATGATCCGAACACGTGCTTGTCCGGTGCTTCGTGTTTCTCCGTCGAGCTTCGCGCGATTTCGCCGCGATCACACGTCGCCATCGGTAGTTGGCCGTGATCAGGGATGCCAGTTTCAAGACTTTTGCAGCATGCAACAGCAAGTGGAGGGGATGCGCACACAGGCGAACAGCCGTGTCCGTGTGCGCTCGGCGCTTCGGCCAACTTCGAGCAGTAGACGGAGACGGATATATATAACCGCTCT